TTATGAGTGAAAAAAAGGTGAGTAATATGGTCTATATCATCACATTTGTATTTATACATATAATCACCCTTTCTAAGTTTATCGATCAATACTTCAACTAGAGTACAACCTGCTAAGCTTCGTTGGTGAAGCTACTGACGTGTATTATAAATATCCTTATTTATTACTGATGCTGATAGATTATTTTGGTAGATAGCTAATATTATTTCCTGAGAACATGAACTCGAGGTAGTCATTTCTGCGACCCTTTCTAATTGTTGATTTGTGAATTGACGTGATATTGGGTACTCTGATAAATCTTCTGAGAGGTTATGATTATGAATACTATTCCAAATTTCTATATGCCATATATTATTATGTCTAATAGCGTATAACTCAAAGAGCAATTAATCAACCAGTTACTTGTTTGTCTTAGATGTGTTTCTGAGCTGCTATAGATTCCACCTGGTTATACCGCAATATCATATTTTTCAAATTACCATGCTGATCTTTATGTGTTCTCTTTTTTACCAATATATAACCTTGAGAATTAGCCCATGTTTGAGCACTCTTAAAAAGTTTAGCAGCATTTTCATATATTACAAGAAATAGCGGGAACATATTTTGTTACAATTTTACTTTAAGAGGTTTGTTATTATAAAAGAAAAGGAATTGTTTTATTTTTTTTGAATTTTAGTAAAAGCACTTACTCATTCTCTTTTTAGTTTATAAATACCATCATTATTTCATTATTATGCATCGTATAGTGATGGTTTATTATTACGTATTACTAATTTATTTTCTACTGATTAATGCATCACCAAATATATTATTGAATTACGGGTCAATTAATATCAATACATATAAGTATCGTTAAGAAAAATGAAGCTTAGAGCTTTCAAGCTTATTATTTGTTATTTATCAAATTTAGCTTGTAAAAAATCTAATTATATATGTTACTTAGTAGGGTTGAATCCGGTAAATAAAAAATGATAAAATTAAAAGCCCGAAAGTCTTATTTTCCTTTGCAGCACTTATATGGGATATAACTGATGATAAGGACGTTAACATACCAAGATATTCATAGAATAAAATAGTGAATATATGTCAAATTGTGATCAAAATAATTGAAGCAATTAGATATAATGATATACCTAATACTACTTAAGAACTTTAACAAGATTATTTTAGTTGCTATAGTTTATGTTAGCAGTTAGAATATAATCTAATTCAGGCATTTATTCAACAAAGTAGCTGCATGGCGCGAGTATGCAAAAACAAAGAACTAGGTAACGAATTTTGTAATCATGTATACTTTTATATAGCAATGTGAATTAATCATAAAAAATAAAGAAGTTCTCTACATTTTATATAGAGTGAATATCACATTATATTTGATCAATTTAACTTAACCTATTATATAAACTTCAATAGATAACCAGATTTTAATAAATATTTAATAGATAAAGTTCATTTATAAAATAGGATAGAGAATCAACTAAAATTTTCTTAATTTTGGGTACTTGAATAGGTATATAAAAAAAAAAAAATCTTAGAATTATAATATTCGATTAGGATCAAAATTTAGTATATAAACAAATCATGTATTTTCTTTTACTACGTTTCTGGTAAAATATATAGAACATAACTTGTTTAATAGCTTTTAGTTTTTGACTAACTTAATTCATTTGTATAGTATCTATTCATACCGTAATAACGCACACAGACAGAGACAACAATTTTCTGTAACAACAAAATGATAACAAATTTCAATTTATTCAAATTATACATCGGAAGATACCGAATTCACTAGATTTATTTGCCAAATTATGCATATTATGCGATGATATACATTATAGAGGCTTTTGTGTAATTTCATTTATAAATAACATTTAGAAATAAGGTTGGTATTTGGTATAATGGGGTGCCAGTATTTATATTTAGTATCAGAATTGAGAACCAGTTACGCCCCTCTAGAATTTAAGTTTATAAAAGCTTATACTCAATGCCAGATCTAAATTATTGTGCTTATTGCTAGAGCTTTGACCTGGGTCTGAAGATACTGGCCTGGGCAGATCAGGTATTTGATCCAGGTTATAAACCGTGTCAATAGATCAAGCAAAAATTCAAAAAGCTTTTAAGATAAATCTTTAAAAGTTGATATAACTATATAGTAAAGAAAGCAGTTACTGAGCAGCCTGTACTCAAATATTTAAATAGAAGTTTTTAGATTTTGCATTAAAAAATTTCTCAACCTTGCTCATGAATTGAGTTTATTCATTTTTGCTTTAGGAAATACCAGATTATAGCTATTTTGATAAATTCTGGAACACCTAGTAAAATGATAGAAGTTTCTCAATATATCTGTATCTTTGAAAGTGATACTAGAATTATAAATCATGTATTCCAGAATTTATGAAAACAGCTATAGCAAGCCAATTTTTGACCTATGACATATCAAGAAGATAGCCTGCACAGATCAAATGACTTGGGTAAAAGCTTTACTTAGAAAATTATAATGTTTTTTACCCATACAGTTATATTACATATTTTAGCCAGGTTTTGAATTTTGACCTGTTTAACCCAGATCAGAGCAATTTTTGACCTGTGACCCACATCAGGTGACCCATATGGGTAAATCGACCCAGATCAAAGCTCTAGTGCCTACTTTCATAAATTCGACAGTAGCAAACCTTTAATATAAAAGAAATAGTTATTAGAAATATAAGATTTACTAATTTGTATGATGGGCATTGCTATTCATACCCATTTTTGCTATTCGTACCTCTTTTGTATTATAAAATTATTATGTAATAATAAATTTTTACATGGAAGGGGGTATGAATAGCAAAAGCAAGGGGTACAAATAGCAATTTCCTATTTTATATATATATATATATAATTTTTATCACTCATTTTCTTAATTCATCACTCAGAAATAATAGGAAACTTTGTAAATTCTAAAAAAAAGTATCTTTTCCGATCAGTTCTCTTCTAATAAGCGACACTGATAAAATATTTAGATCAGGTGTAATGTAAAAGTCACGATTTTTTAAAAAACTAAAATTTTATTTATGAAAACTACCATTCCTTCGCTAATAAAAAAAATCTCTTGCAAAATTTTGGTATAAAACATATTCTCTTTCAATCATTACTCTAATCTGAACATGAGGTTTAGTGATCTTAAAAATATTGCGTATATTACAGTCAGGCCTCCCTAAATGTACCCTTCTTAAAATCTAGGTAATATAACAATTATAAATTTTGATCTCTAAATGTAGCCGAAATTTTTTACCATGATCCCGTGGGCGTGCATTTAGAAAAGTCTGACTATGATTTGTTATCTTATCTGATTGGTGTATTTCCCATAGTTCTACTGTTTTTATTACCCGTATGACAAAAATAAACATCTCTCCTTAACTCCTTTTGATTTATTTTTTTTTTTTTAATTAAAAATTTAAAAACTAAAACAAGTTTCAAGATTTAAAAATCAAAATTTCATTGTATCGCATTTATAAACTACCCAAAAAAAATTTGAAAGATTTGATCACTAATATATAAATATAGATTTTAGCTGAGATAATCAATACATCATTTTAATAAATTACTATATCCAATGAAATGCGTCAGGTGTAAAAAAATATGTTAACCTGTGAGAAAGATGAATTAAACGTATTATCGGTACAAATCAAAGATTCAAAAAATTTCTTCACATTTTATCATTAATTGATTATTATATAATTTGGTAATTAAAAATTAATTTCGAGGACCAAGTACTTAGATTTGATAACCAATTGTCTATCTAATTCCGCAAAAGCACCATAATAATACCTACATGTACATATCGATAATTAAATCACAGAATAGCAAAAGCTCAATAAAAAGAGATTTAAAATTCTCGCCAGATCAAGATTGCTATTGAATTCTATGATACATAAAAAAAAAATTTTTTTTATATACAATTAGGCTGCACAAATTTATATACTTGGTTTTCATATCACGGAACAGTGATTAGTGACCCGGCCGCATGGCTTTTTTTTTTATAGTAAAAAAAATTTTTTTTTAATAATGTTAAAAATAGTGTTAACATCATTATAGGATAATTATAAACTATTATATAAACGAATAACCCCGATAGGTGAAATTCATATTGGTCTAATCCCCGCAGTCACAAATAAACTCAATCTTAACTATATACAGTAGTTAACTAAGATTTTATACAATAGATTATAATTTTCACTAAACTTTATATTTTATTGTACCTTCTTTTACAATTATTTAAATGGACTGATTAAATTATTAAACATATTTCAAACGATTACGGTATAATTCCCCGAAAGTTATTTCCCTACAAGTCATTTACCTGACATCACACTGGGTGACTAAAAATATATGCCTGCTACTAATTAATGCTTACCCTAATTCTATGTGATACCAGGTAAATAACTTGTAGTAGAAATAACTTTCAGGAATTGAGAAACAATCATTTAAAACACACTACAAGTCACTATGCATTGATCATAATGTTTGGACCATCTCGATTAGGGACAGATAATGTTCTTATATTAATCATAGGTAAATTATTGACGTGGTACATCAAATAGCCTACATAATATTGGAACGTATGGTGACTGACTATTCAGAAGCTTGCACCATACAAATTCCTAATTTCTAAACTTAATACTATAAATAATAACAGATCTGTATGGCTGAATAGTTACTGCACATCCCAGTAGCATACTAATCTATATAATTTAGACTTTAACATGACAATAATAGTGTAGTGCAAAAAAATTTTGTGATTGTCAGTAATCTTTTCTGCCTAAAAAACTAGCATATATAATTATAAAGATCGTTATCGACAT